TCCAACAACCAAATCCTGATTAACTACATTTACAGTGTGTTCTTGCTATCAGTACTCTGGGCTGGAACTTTGAAATCACTGGTTAAAACAGTGATGAAAACAGTTCCCTCCTGGGGCTGGCAGGTGGTGTGGTGGTTAAGGACACTGGACGGCACACATGGCTGACTGTGGTCCAACTCCTGGACCTGGTGGCTTGTTTTCTCACTTTCTCTCTCTCTTTCTCTCTCCCTGTCCCTCTCTTGTCAAATTAAAATAAATAAAGTTAAGTAATTCTTAAAAAAAGAAAACAGTTCCTTTCATCAGCTGGTGGTCTCCCAACATGTACCATTCTGACACTTGTTTCTCCTGAGACGTTTGCTTCCACGTGAGTACAATCTTCACCTCGGGGGACAAGGCAGGATGAACCCTACACACACAAGGCAAGACAAACCCTGTTTCTGTTAAGTCAGATGCCAGAATCCCCAGGGGCAACAAGTCATTTGTTACCCTCCTGACCTTCTCCAAGGTTAGTTCACAGGTTCAGGACCACGTAGCCTGAATTTTCCAGGTCACTCCTACCCTCCTCCCCCGTATGTATACTCGTACTCACAGGACTGTACCCTGGTTTGGGATTCTGAAAGAGGAAGTCACCACACCCATAAACTAATACACAACAGCCTGGTCACCTGCCAGTACACGTCCAGATGAAGCACAGGATCCCACACTTCCGGCAGCGCCTGCTCTCTCAGTGTGTGTGTTTTTTTTAATTTAAAGAATTATTTAATTTTGTTTATTCACTCATTTATTTTAATTTGACCAGAGAGAAACACACACACAGAGGGGAAGTGAGAAAGCAAGCCACCAAGTCCGGGACTCGAACCGTAGTTGGCCATGTGGGAGTGTCCAGTGCCTTAACCACCACACTGTCTGTTGGTCCCCCGTGTGGCTTTTTAATGCAGTATTATTCCCTTGTATTCTTTTTTTCTTCTTTTAATGAAATACTATTTCCTTCTTCCCTTTCTCCTTCTTCTTATTTTTTAATTTGACCAGAGAGAGACAGAGAGAAAGGCAAAGTGAGAAAGCAAGCTGCCACCAGGTCCAGAACTCGAACCTGTCGGCCTTCACCACCACACTACCCACCGGCCCCTCCCTTGTGTTCTTTATCTCATGTCTCAGTTGCCCTAACTAGTTGGTTATTGGAAACGTCCTGACATATAAATGACTTTTCCTAGGACACAAAAGTCTATCAACCAAAGTCAAGGGCTGTGTTTTCGTTACCACTCTCTCTACGCGGCTTCAGGTCAGCAACTATATGGAGCATTCCCAAACAATGGCTGTGTCAATATGTGTAACTTTGTCGAAAGCTACATGGTCCAGCAATTTCACTCCTAGAAATGTATCCTACAGATATACTCTCACAATCGAGGAGGGACGTGTGTATTATAAGATGCACATTTAAAACAATACCTGTGGGCCGGCAGGTGGTGTGGTGGTTAAGGGCATTGGACTCCCACGTGGCTGATCGTGGTTCAAGTTTCACACCTGTGGCTTACTTTCTCACTTTCTCTGTGTCCCTCTCTGGTCAAATGAAAAATAAATAGATAAATAAATAAAATCATTATTAAAAATATCTGTAATGGCGGGACCAGCAGTTAGCGTAATGGCTATGTCACTGGACTCCCATGTAGTCGACCACGGTTTGCGTCCCGGACCCGGTGGCTTGAAACTCAGTCCGGGCGCATGTGCGTGCCCAGAATCCCGAGAGGACAGTGGAGAAGGTACCGCAGCATGGCCATCCCCCTTGGGGGGTGATTTCTCGCTTTCTGTCTCTCTGTCTCTATCTGTCTGGAGAGTGCATGCGCCCTGTAGCAAAAACCTCTCCAAAAAAAAAAAAAAAATCTGTAATGGCAAAAAACTGAAACAATCTTTAGGGACTGTTTAACTGACATATTTGTACCGTGGAATACTATGCAGTCACAGAAAGAATAGGATGTATTTATATATATCAACATGTAACAAAGTCTCAGGGATATACACTCTTACTTTTTTTTGTACGCACGCATGCCACCTGGCGTGTTTCGGGCTGCCAAGGCCGGGACTTGAATCGCAGTTGACTATGTAATCCAGCGAAGTAACTATAACACCATCTGCTGGTCCCTACTTTTTCCTTTTTTTTTGAGAGATTTTTGCTATAGGGTGTGAGTGTTCACCGGAGAGACAAAAAGTAAGAAATCACCTCCTAGAGAGGATGGCCATGCTGCAATCCCTTTTCCATTCTCCCCTCAGAATTTTAAGCATGCACACACATGTGCCTGGGATGAATTTCAAGCTGCTGGGTCCCGGATCTGAACCGCAGTCACCTATGTGGGAGTCCAGAATCTTAACCACTACACCACCTGCTGGCCTCAAGAGATATACACTCTTATGATAGACACTTATACTAGTATAGAAGATCTCCAGAGAAATACACAAGAAATGTAACTCACTGCTTCTGGAGAGGAGCACAATGTCCAGAGTGGTACAGAGGCTTGCTTTTTATATGTATTTTTTTTTGTAGGGTGTGTGTGCTCGCCAGAAAGACAGAAAGCAAGAAATCACCCCAAGGGGGGATGCCACAACCCCTTCTCCTCCATTTTCCTCTCGGGATCTTGGGCACGCATGCACATGCGCCCGGAGTGAGTTTAAGTCACTGGGTCCAGGACTCGAACGTTGGTCAACTACGTGGGAGTCCAGCAACATAGCCATTACGCCAACTGCTGGTCCCTATCATGTATCTTTTTGAACAGTTGAGATTTTCATATAATGCCTTTTTTTTTTTTTTTTTAAGTTTTGCTGCAGGGGGCATATGAGTGCCAGAGAGAGAGAGAAAAAGTGAAAAAGTACCTCCTGGGCGAATGCCCGTGCTGCAATCCGTTTTCTTCCATTCTCCTCTCGAGATTTTGGGCATGTGTGAACATGAGCCCAGTGTGTGTGTGTGTGTGTGTGTGTGTATGTTTGTAGAGAGATTTTTGCTATAGGGTGTGTGTGCTCACTGGAGAGACAGAGAGAGGCCCTGGGGAGATGGCCACGCCAATCCCTTCTCCTCCATTCTCCTCTCGGGATTTTGGACATGCACGCACACATGACAGGCATGAGTTTTAAGCCTCCAAGTCTGGGACCCGAACTGCGGTTGACTATGTGGGAGTCCAGTGACCTAACCATTACACCATCTGCTGGTTTCCCCAGTGTTTTTCAAGCTGCCAGGTCCAGGATTTGAACAGTGTAGCTCGTCATGTAAGACCCAGCTGCCTTAAGCACCACAGCACCTGCTAGCCTGATAATACTTTTTCTTTAAAAAAAAAAAGTTACAAAAAGAAGAGAGAGGCCAGCTAGTGGTGTGGTCGTTATGGTGGATAGATCCCATAGAGCTAACTACATGGTTCAAGTCCCACACCTGAGTCTTGAAAAACATGCCAGGCATGTACATGCCCAAAATCCCCACAAGGAGGAAGAAACTGAAGAGAAAGGACTGTAGAGTGATCGTCCATGTGGGGAGTGCTCCCTCACTATCCTCTTCCCTCCACTGCCCCCCACTCCTGCTGCGAGCACACATGCCCACTGGCAAAATTACAAAAAATAGATAAAGCTAACTTTTCTTCATTGAAGAAAAATCAAATTGCCAATTTTGTTTTGCGTTTGCTATAGGGTGTGTGTGTGTGTTCACCAGAGACACACAGAGAGAGAACGTGAAAAAGTACCCCCAGGGAGGAGGACAACACTGTGATCCCTTCTGTGTAAAACTTCCGATTTTGGGCACACACACTCACCCACCCAGCGTGTTTTATAAGCTGCCAGGTTTGGGACTCAAACTACGCAGGTGGTAATGTGGGCTCCAGAGAAAGTGAAAAAGCACCCCCCAAGGGGGGATGCCCATGCTGCAATCCCTTCTCCTCCATTCTCCTCTCGATTTTAGACATGCATGTACATGTGCCCAGTGTGAGTTTCAAGTCGCTAGGTCTGGGGTTTGAACTATAGTCAGTTATGTGGGGGTCCAGTGTCACAACCACTATGCCAACTGATGACCCCCCCAATATTTTTCTATAAGGAGATTTCAATTTCAACTTCAAGCCAGTTTTGACAAACACATAGCTTCCCATCTGTCTAGATGATTAAACATAGTCTTGCTTGGACACAGGGACAGAGCTCATAATCCCTCCTGGTCACTTCAGTCTCTGGGTTTCCTATAAAGTATAGGTAAGCATTAATCAGAAAAGTAGAGCTTTTTCCTGACATGCAGCAAGTCAACGGTGTTGTTAGACACATTCCCCAAACTGAGGAGATCAGCCCCTGGGAAACGTCTTCCCCAGTACTTCCTGACTACAATTTTCTTCACTGCAAGGCTCTTTCTCACACACTCTCTCACAAGCTGCTCAACCAACCTGAACCCTGGCAGCTTGGCTTTAGCCAAAGAGCCAGGGGAAGCCCTGAGGCAGCTAAGTTCTGCTCTGCTGCCACTTACAGTCTGGCTTCCAATTGGAGAACACACGCTGGAGAAAGGCGAGCTCTCTGTTACTGAATCAGAGATGCTGGGGCCGGCTCTGACAGAGTCGTCTGGCCCCGGTGCCACCTGCTCCAAGCAGGAGATCAATTAGTCACTACTCTTGTCAAGGGGAAGAGTGGGAAGAGGGTCACTAGTATAATCTTTGGTTGCCTGAGAGAGCCTCTGGCAGCTGTGGTTTTCTTGAACTGGAGAGTTCTCCTCTGGAAAGTGGCCATTCACTCTCTTATGGATCCCTTCCCACAAAACAGCTTTATTTGCTCATCCTGGCTTTCAACCTAGTCCCAAAGCTAAGCAGTGGTGAATACATGACTTGGGAATCAGGCACCCTCATGTATACCCAGAATGAGCTATCCAAGTGACAACCTCACAAGGTCAAAAACAAAACAAAACAAAACACCAGGTAGTGAGATGAAGTCACTTGCTGCTATGAAATAAATGTGGGAACATTTATGCAGTTTTCTTTTTATTTATTTAACTATAAAGACTGCAGCAATTTTTTGATAGGTAACACCTTAGATTAACACTAATTATATTGCTATAAATTTGGTTCAGGATCTGAATTCAGAAAAGGGAGAGGATAACATTAAAACAAAACAAAACAAAACAAAACAAAACAAAACAAAACACCCTCCAAACATTGAAACAAAGCAGTACTTTTTCCAAAACTTTGAAAAAACTTTAATTAAATGCTACTTTCCCACTGACTTCCCTAGACTGGTCTGCAGTCTAGGGTAACAGGCAACAAGGCTCTGGGCATTCTGAAGAAACTGCAGGTTAAGCTGTGGTGCCAAGCAGACCGAAACCCTGATGGAGTGTCAGATCTCAGGCACGTTCTGGGATAGAGGCAGAGTGTTGGACATTTCCTAGTGTTCTCTCCTTTTCAGCAATTAATTTTCCCTTCTCTGGCTAATCCCTCAATGCCTGGTCAAACTGCTATTTGGAGGGAGCCTGGTAGGCGTCGCGGCTTCTGCTTAGACAGGAAAGGGGACAGGGCCAGCTCTGACTGACCTCCTCCTGAGACAGCCCGAACAGTGGGGTAAGTAAGGCCTCTTCGGGCAACTAGAAGGCCTCGTGTCCTGGGAAGAGTATGGAGTACCCTTGGGAAACCTGGCAACAGTTGCCTCTGATTCCTGGTGGAAACGGCACCCAGGATCAATCCACATCATTGGGAAAGGTCATGGGAGAAAGCAGGTCCCCATCCAAAAATGGTAAAGAGGAAACAGAGAAGAAACCAAAAATACTAGAATGGCACAAAAAGTTATATGCATAAACTTCTTTTTGTTATTAAATCTAACTATAAGTTTCCTAAAGTCCAGTTATCAGTTGTGAGGGACAGAGGCCAACTGGAAATTCCCTCAAGAGTTTACAGCTTCTGGCTGAGCGGTCCTGGGTTTGCGTTGGGGGAGCCCCTTTTTGAATGAGGGCTTGGCTGGGCTAGGCTCCATGCTGGCTGCAGTTCCAGTGGTCCCTGCAGAGCGAGTCTGGCCCCGTTCACTAGTGTTTCCTGGTGCCTGGAGTGGAGCGCTCTGATACCTGGAACCAGATGAGTACCACGAACCATTTCTGTAACGACCCGTAGTGTCATGTCGCCCCGGGTTCATGGGGTCATTCAACTTCGTGCCTTGTGGCCTGTAGCCTTGTCCTCCTCGTCTGTTCCCCGGCAACACCTAAGGACACAAGAATACAATGTCCCAGGTGCTATGGCATCAGGGTGCCACAGAAGTATTCTGAAAGCGTAACAGTGATAGCCTGCGCTCGGGATTCTGTCAGACCTCAGTTTTCACTCAAGACTCTCAGACTTCTGCCAGCCCATCCAAGCCACCACCACCTCAGAACTAGGACACTTTTTTTTTTTTTTGAGAGATTTTCACTGTAGGGCGCGTGCGCTCGCCAGACAGACAGAGAGAAACATAGAGACAGAAAGCGAGAAATCACCCCCCAGGGGGGATGGTCACGCCGCAATCCCTTCTCCTCCATTCTCCTCTCAGGATCTTGGGCACGCACGCACACGCGCCCAGCGTGAGTTTTAAGCCACCAGGTCTGGGACACGAACCGCAGTCGACTACGTGGGAGTCCAGCGACATAGCCATTACGCTAACTGCTGGTTCCCAGAACTAGTACACTTTTTACTGGTCCTGTCCTGCCTCTTAAACCAGGCTCTTCTCCACACAGAAGAGTCTACTTTGCTTTATTCCAGCACAAGGTGAATGCTGGAAAGAGAAAGAATACCCTTTGTTACAATGCCTTAACTGGAGACGTATCTTCCCAGTGTGACTCATTACCAGGCGATACTACCCACAGCAGCTAGGATCACTGCTGACAGACGAAAGGCTGCAGTTCTTGGCAAGAGGAATCTAAACTGGTCGATGGTTTGGAATGTACCTGCCGAAGGCTTTCAAGAGCTTACTGATGCTGGAGGGATTCAAAATAGGCATGGAATGGGAATAAAGCGAGGAAAGTAACATACCAAACTATCAGCCTTAAACCTGGACAATCTGGGCCCTGGACTTCCTAACACGCTCTAGTGGGGAAGCTAGGTTACCTCCCGAGGAAGCTGGCAGGGCCGGCTGCTGGAGTTCGCTGAGGCTGCAGAGGTCTCTCCTGGTGCAGAGTTTTTCTTGGTAGCACTTGTAAGGCTGGCAGCAGAGGCACAGGTGGAGGAGGCAGCAGCAGCAGCAGCATCACTCGGGCTACTCAAGGACACGGAGGTAACTGAGCTGCACCGGGACCTGGTTGAATAGCTGTTTTTTGGATGGGACACTGAAAGAGAAAGATGAGGAAGATGTGGTCATATGATGAATGAGCATGAAGAGGGGAAAGTTTTCCCCACATCTCCACTTTACAACGAGCAACTTCAGACAAAGAACTGTCTACTTTTCACAAAGAGAAATCTATAAAGTGGATAACAGGAGGGAAAATCTCCCTTTGGCCTCCTCCTGCACTTCTCCCACATCCCCGCTGCTTTATAAGAGAATACTTACAGACAGGAACAGTTTAAGATGGAAGTCCCCCTTCCCCCCCACTGACTAATGACATCTTGGCATTTTCTACTACCTAAGCTGCTCGGCTCTAGTGGCTGACTAAGCCCGGGAACAATAGTATGGGCCATATGTTCAGTTTTCTATGTGAGGAACATTCTACAGCACATGCTTTACAGAGAAAGAGAAAGGTAAATAAATCAATTTGTTGCTTGAAACGTTTTTAAAATTTTGAATGATGCAAAATATAAATAATCAACATCAGTTCAATATGAATAGAATGACTTGTTTCAACAAACATGTATCTTGCCAAGTTTTTCTGCAAAAATAACCCCAAATTCAAATGCCAACCTAACTGAAAAATACTAATACTTTTAACTCAAATGTTGTTAGAACTTAAGGTTTAGAACTACTCCCCAGATTTTCTTCTTGCCTCTAAGCCTGAACTAACGATGAGCTCACCACCGTCGCCCCACGTCTCACATTTCACTTTTCCAAGGAGACAGCAGGAACAGGAGAACTGCGTTTAGGGCCTGACTGATCTGTCACTGCAAACTCTCGACTTGGAGGCATTCCCTTACGACACACTTTACTGCTATTATTTAAGGGCCTGTTTTGTGCCAGGCAAAGCAGGTGCTGTCATCTCCATTTTGGAGAGGAGTAAAATGAGGTTCCAAGAGGTCACTGTGGAGACAAGGGTTCAAACTTGCTCTGGCTCCTTGGCTCCATTCCCTTTACACCATATATCAATCACCTCTCCAGTTGGCAGAAAAGAAAGAAAAAAAATAGTATTTCATATTGAGGAAGCTGACAAATATTCATTTCTGAGAAACTGAAACATCTGCATCTACAGACAGAGTTACTTTTTGTAAGAAGTAGCAAAGAGGCCCTGAAGAAGGGTCCGTGGAGAAGGTGACCCACCATCGGCCTCTCCAGCAGAGGGCAGCTGCACCTCCAGTGCCCAGAATCGCTCACCATCTCACCTTGTCCAAAGGAATCAATGCTCTTCTTTAGGGTTTCAACATCACAGGTGAACCGGGCTACGCGTCCCAGATCCTCATCATATTTGCGTTCACTAACAAAGTGCTGGGAAAAGAGGAAAGAAGAGCCTCCCAGTTAGATAAGCATTATACATGAATCTAGAATTTACCAGGTACAAATGAAGCAGAATTATTTCCCACTGCCTTTTCATTGCTTCCAAGTTCACCAAATGACCATCATATTACTAATAGTAATTACTCATAAATTTACTCATTTTTTTCACACAAGCCTAAAGATAATTTCCGGAGCTTTGGAATGATGATCCACACCCTACTAGTTATAGACAAGTGAAATGGCAGAGAAAGGAAAGGAGACAGAATTTATAGTAGAGGGGCCTCTTTTCACTGCTGGACATTCTCCACATTGTTCCATTCTATAAAATAAAGCAGCAGAGGCAGAAAAAACATTCATAAGCTACAACAATAATCCCATTTATTGGGTCACTGGAAAGTCATAATAGAAAAGCACGTCATGACTTTCCTGACAACCTTAACAGAGAGATGGGCTGGTATTCTTTTTTTCTTCTTTTTCTTTTTTGGAGAGGTTTTTGCTATAGTATGTGCTTGCCAGAGAGACAGAAAGTGAGTGATTATCTCTCAGGGGGGATGGCCACACTGCAATCCCTTCTCCATTCTCCTCTTGGGATCTTGGGCACCCATGCACACGCGCCTGGCGTGAGTTTAAGCCACTGGGTCCTGGACTCGAACCTGGTCGACTACTTGGGAGTCAGTGACATAGCCATTACACTAACTACTGGTCCTGGTTGGTATTCTTTAATAGGAACTTCCTTAGGAAACCCACTTCATTTCTTTATAAAGTAGGATTTCTCAGTACTTGAAATAGGAACAAATTCTTGAGATGGAAAAATCATTCATGTGAAAAGTCAGCCTTGCAAACAAGAAGAATTTCTATTGCAAGTAATTTAATCCTTTTAAGCAGACTAAGTTGAGAAATAACCGACGCCCTGGCCCAAAAACTATTCTGGGACATACTGCTTCTGTTGTTATAGAGTTATAAAATTACACAAAAGTATAAGACATATTTTGAACATTATCTTTAAAATTCAGTATTTTGAAATTTTGAAAGTTGTTTGTAAACTGTCAAGAATTATGGAATATGAATTAAAATTTTTTGCTATTAAAGTAAATGTTTGTGGAAAAATGTAAAAATAAATAAATGAAAGAGAAAAAAACAAAAAAACAAAAAACAAACAAAAAACTATTCTGTAGAAACCTGGGACTATAAACCTATCAGGGTAACATCATTCCTTCTGGGGGTCTATTTTAATAATCAATATCTAAGGTAGCCAGGGATCTTTTTTTTTTTTTTTTTCTGATGAAAAAGAAAAAGGTAAGGGTCTAGGTATAATTCAGAAGAGCGGAACTCGTTAGAGCAGCCCTCCTGACTGAAGTTAAGACCACATCGGAGCCCATAGGATGCATCCAGAAGCACCGAAAGGGAAAGAAGATAAAAATTACCTTTAGGTTGTCAAGTCCTAAAGCTCCAGCAGATACTGTGGCTTAGGAAAGCACATGAACCTTTTATAATATCAGTCTGAGATCAATTCTAAAAGAAATTCTAGTTTGTTGAGCCAAAGACATAATAAGAGTGACGGAAATAAAACGATCTGGAACTGAGACATTTGAATTGCACAGCATCCACTGCAGTACACTGAACACGTGGAGAGAAACAGATCCTTAGTCAGCCTGCAGAAACCTGCCTAGCAGCTTTTCAGCCACGTGGGAAGGGGAACAGATGAAGCCTGTGAAAGCCAGATTTCTCATCTTAATCCAAAGGGGTTTCCGGCTTCACTCAGAGAGTTGAATGAGACTGACTGGCATTGACGTGAGAAAGAGTTCCCGTAACATTTAGTAATATGGTTTTGGTTAAACAGAAAATGGTCATTTACATTTTGAACTATTTGGCTATTTCACCCCTGTAGAGTCTAAGGGGAAGGAGTGAGAAAACAATAAAACTCCATAGGTTTGTGCAAAACACCGGGTCACAACGATAGCAAGGATCCTTGTAAAGTCTTAGGTGATCTTCCACCGATGTTATTTTACAAAGACTGTAGTACGGCTTCTGCAGCAAGTGTTCCTTTCAAATATGACAATAAATCTTTTTATTCTTTTTTTTTTTTTTAACTTTTTATTATTATTATAAATTTTTTTTCTTTTCTCATCAAAACACACATATGAATTTTCCATCCAAAATACACTGTGCATTGGCTCAATCAAGCACATCAACATATATGTTCTCAGCAAATGATTTCCCAATTTTTGTGTCCTGCATACCTTGCCTTTTGTTTTGCCATCCTAGGTTCCCCATCCCCACCCTCTGCCATGTCCCGTCTTCCTCCTTTATTGTCCCTGACATTCATGATTGCCCTCAATGGCTTCCGCCCCCCCCATTCAATTGTTCTACCAATGAACTCAATTTGTCTAAATATATCCACTAGCTAGCACAGCTGACATATCCTTACACATGTATCCAAATCTGATCCTAGGCATAAACCCCAGGGAGTAGAATGCACATACTATAAAGTAGTCCCCAGTTGTGTCCATACACCTCTCTTCAGTCATCAAATGTGCATTTTTTTTTCCTCCTGCTTATTATTATTTTATATTAAATTATATTGCCTAACACTCATTCCCTGAGTATCATCACAACACACCAAGTCAAGTTTCCCATCTAGGATAAACTGCATAGTGTCTCAATCAAGCATGTCGTCACCAATACTGTTCCATTTCTACTTTCATACATATAAATATGTTTTTTATCCTATGTTTGACCCTCAGCCCTTTCCCCCTCTCCCAATTACTCTATCTCTGCTATAGACAGCTATCCTCCAGAGGGGTCATTGAAAATGCGATACCTGCGAGTAGAGGGAGAGGGGCCAGGAGTCCAAAGTTTTTAACAATAGGGAAAATAGATTCCATTCAAGGTTGGATCAAGTGTGGGTCTCGTGCAGTTCCGCAACTGTAGGTGAGTCTCCATGGAATACAGTCTCCGGAAGGCAGTTCTGGCAAGCAGAGTTGACCATCAGTTGATGCGGCACAGCAGCCATCTTGTGGTTAGCAGGA